ATTTTATGCTATTGGGAAAAATTATTGACGAATAAACAACCCAGATGTTAAAAAAATTAAAAATTTTAAAAAGATGAAAAGAAGGAAACACATACTTTTGTTAGAAAACTTTTGACAGTCTTAATAGATACTCCACTCTCAGGATCTAACATTGTTTGTACCAAATTTTCCAATTTTTGATAAATCATATGATTTGGATGAACCACTCTTTCTTCGATGCTTGCATTGGCTCGTAATCTTGGTAATGCCATTTGTGTTCTTCCCACACTCTCTCCCTCACAGTCTACGCTTTCCTCCCAAAATGATTTTGATTTTGGAAGGAAAAAAGAAATCAAATTTCCGTTGCAATTGTGATTAAATTAAATTGTCGTGATTCACTTTACTGAATACTTTGATTGTTGAATTTCGTTCAGCTTTCTTCTTTTTTTTCCTTCACCAATACAACATTTCCTTGAATTTCAGCATAAGTTGAAGTGCAGGAAGATTGAGCCGTACTATTATCCTATGAATAACACATAGTAGAAAGCTAATCAATCATTCCAAATGATTAGTGATCATTTAATAGCATCGTCGCAAAAGCAGGTAAACAAGAACATCACATTCCGTTGAACGCACATTAGAATATCTCTTAAGGCAACTAAAAGGCATACTGATGAAGCAATTCATACTTGACAAGTGTATTTTAGTGATAATGATTCGGTTTTAGCTGGATTCTATTTCCCTATAGTATTTTTTTTCTAAACGACTTCCATCCAATTTTTGTAAGTGTTTTTTTTTTGTAAAATAATTCTTTTGTCCAATTTTTGTAAAATAATTTTTGTAAGCGATTTCCATCCAACATGACATCTATCCTGAATACGTCGTCCTTTCTTCTTCATTTCATTTCTCACAAAAGGCCTTTGGCTATCTAAACCATTTTTGCACATGTTGCAATAATCGACCGATAAGTTTTTTTTTTCTTGTTTTAAAACATGACAGGATTTTGCATTTCATAACCAAATTATAGCAGAAAATTCGTACCCTATAATGAACTCTCATCTTTTTTCTTTGAAAAATTTGTATTTAAAAAAGACCTACAAAACGATGTCAATAGATGTGGTCGAGTAATGACAGTACGAATCAATCCATCAATTATTCCTTTATATCCCGAAGGATATGAAGAAATTAATGGTAAAGTATGAAGTGAACGATCTACAAACGATCGTCAGGAAAATCAACATGAACTACATATGAGCTGCTTATACACGGTTCCCAAAATCCCAATGAATCGACCACATTTGGTGATAAGCCATATAAACAAAACGTCCGTTTATCCATATGAGTGCATTAATGAACAAACCATCGGAAAAAACTGATCAACCGGATAAACTGAGGTGAGAACGGAGAAAGACTCAATTGTCACTCAATCAGGATACCTTCTTCCGTTTAATGATCCCTGCCTGATATAATATCATTTAAAAATTGGATAGGTGAAAAATAAAACAAAACAAAAGGAAAAAGAAAAGAGGATGCGAGAGTAGTAAGGATGAAGGCTCAAATAGAAGAGAAAGAGGGAAGATAAATCCGAAGGACATACTCATTACTATTAGATCATCATTAATGGCGACAGACAAATGCAGATATAAGTAAACATAAACATCACTAAAATAGATAAAGGAAGTGATGAATGAGCGGAAAAAGGGGAAGAAAAGTCATCGAATATAAGCGTAATGCGAAGAGAGACAGATAGTGAAAGGAAAAAAGAAGGAAGAGCATTCAAAGCTTCAAAAATAATATGCATACTTTTATCTTCTGTTCCCATTAATTTCTCATTTACTTTTCTCTTCTTTCTCTCCCTTTCTTCTCTCTCTTCCTATCCTATTTCTGTCCCTCAAATTTATTCCATTCATCTTCAAAAAAGGAAAAAAAAATTCTTTCTTTCCCATTCAAAACACATTTCTCCATTTTCGTCCCCGTCCAATTCTAACATCATGCAAATTTTCTCCATCACTATATCACATGAAGATGGAAAGATTGAAGATTGAAGATGAAGTGAAGAGAAATGATAACAATAACAGAAAACAATAAACAATGTTCATACATCACATACAAGCAACAAATGCAATATCATAAACGCTAATAACTACGAGAACATCACTAATAATTACATAGTGATAGCAACGATAACAGTGATAATGGTGATAATAGCAACAGCAATAGTGACCACGTAAACATCAGCAATAACAACAGTATACCAGTACTAAAAATCCAACATTAACAATGACAACAACACCAACAACAGTAACAACAACAACACCAACAACAATAACAATAACAATAATGACATCAACAATTAAAGAAAAAAATGATAACACCGAAAAGTACTCAAAAATGTGAGACACTGTTCAATTGGCATCACAAATGTAAACGGAGGATATTGGCTAGTATTGAGGAAAGCTGTAAGAGTGAATGTCTGCAGCATACACCAATCACATACACACATACATGCACCGACACACACACACACATGTCGCATCAAAATTAATAAATTGATCCATTCAACGATTTTCATTGACAAACGTACGATACTTTATCATTGGGATATGTCTGTCTTGTATGTTAATGTGCATGTGCATGTGCATGTGCATGTGCATGTGCATGTGCATGTGTATGTGTGTGTATGTGTCACAGTCATTCTTAATAACAATGGACATCATTTTCTCGGCATCGCTACTGATTCTTTCGAAAAATGCCTGCCATTCAATTCAAGAGAGGAATGTATTGCGAATGTACCATGAGGACTTAGTACACGCACGTGCACACACACACACACACACACACACACACACACACACACACACACACACATACACATACATATGCACATACAAAGAGAGAAAGAGAGGGAAAAAGATATTTGTGGAGGATACGTTAATATGAATAGATCGATAAATAAATAAGTAAAATATATTATTGTAAATATGATATACATTGGAAAAGGAAGTAAAATTGAAGGAAGTAATAGTACAAGAAATGGATATAATGCATGCAATGCAGGTTACTTCTTGAGAATGATTTCATGACATCAAATGATAGAAAACGTGATAAATAAAAAAATTTTTTTTTTAAAATTAAATATTTGAACCAAATTAACAATTAATCAATGATGAATATAGGATTGTAGTATAATAACTGTTAAGGAGAAATATGTGATATGATTTCATTTAATTGCTATTTAAAAAAATACATTGAGATACATGTATAAGTAACTTCTCATTTAATTAACTTTTCACTAGCGTAATCAATGAGGCATATGGACGTGAGAAACGTCGTTTAGCATGTGAATTATGTAAGAGGGATAATTGTGAACTGGAAGGCTACACATGAAAACAATGATCTGTTTACTTGCTCGTAAATGAGAGATGAAACATTGGAAAGCTTAGGATGAGGGGTACTTGGAATGAGAAGTGTATTCCATATGGAATTAGAATTGAGTAATACTTTCTAATATGATTTAGTAATTAGTCGAAAATTTTAAATGAGATATTTTAATAATATTTGGTGTAAATTTTAGGAAATGGAAAGAGAAACTACACCATGCATATTCATAATACTTAATTTAGCTAATTAATGTGATTACATTATATTCTATCAATGTTATATGATATCTAATATGTTTAATCAATTCATAAAATATATTATATATTACATTAATTCAGGAAAAATATTTTTGCATATTTCAATTAAATTCACAGAATATATGTTTTTATAGAATATTTTATTAATTGGTCATTTATTTCTACACCTTAGCAATACATTTTTCATTATTTTTCCATTATAATCAATGAAATTCTCCCTAAATCTCTTTTCTTTTCTCATTTTTCCTAAACGTACTCGAAAAGTCTTATGTCATTCTCAAATTACTACACTATTCATTTCAGTGCTCTCAATTCCTCACTTGCAACATTCTATAATCTTATCATTCTTTCTATTCTCTTCATAAAAACAATATTTCTCTGTGGTGAAAGAAGATGCATTTAATTTAACTGGTTTTGTGGGGCGTTTTTACTGCTTGTTTATTTATTACATTTTTGCTCTCTCCCACTTTCCTGTGATCGGCTGCATTAGATTGTGATGTAATTGTACCTTCTCATCTCTCGACTGCACATGCACACTCGTCGCGATGCGCGAAGTGCGGGATTCGAAGTATTTGGGATGAATTGGGAATGTGTAGAATGGATTATATAATATGGTAGTATCCGTTTCAATTTCTATCGTGGGAAATTTTTTTGTAAATGTAAAAAAAAAAATATGCTCTACATATGCTTCATATTCTCATGTCACATATTATATCTTTATGATATTTTATTCATCTTTATTTGTTTTCTTATTGCAAGTGAAAATTTTCTGTGATATTGTTATTTATAATTTGAAATACGATATCGTTAGAATATAATGAATTAATGCATACTATTGAACCGTGATCATCAATAAATCAAATAGGGGGGTATCGTTGATAATGACAATTTAAAAGATGTCACGCTTTTATGATATAGCGAAGTTCTGCGATCATCTTCAAGATATAGTTGAAAATTTAATAAGAATCTTGCAGATTTTGAAGTGATCATTGAATCCAATGAATAATAGTCAAAAATGTGGACAGATAATAACAAATCCGAACATTAAGGATAGATTAGATGAAGAATGGTGCTACTGCTGCTGCTGGTGGTGGTACAGTCGGATAGTTGATGATATCGACTGATTACATTAAACTATTAAACGTGTATTAAGTTGGAAATCCCTATATTCCATCATTTCCGCTGTTGTTTCGACCACTGCTACCATCGACACATTTTGAGTGCATGACGTCACTGTTTTTCCAGGAATCAATAACAGTAGTAGTAAAAGCAACCTCGAAAGCCTTGCTTTTAATTAACTCTTTACAAGGAAGTTTTTTTTTCCTTTTTTTGACTCGTTTTTTCGGTTAACTTATATCCGGTGATTGAAATATTGGTATTGGAATGTCCATGAAATTTTTTGCGGGTTTACAAGATTTCTTGGGTTTGTATGATACGTCATCATCAAACAGTGAACAACAACAACAAGAGGAACAGCTGGCATCATCTGCTTCAACGACAGCAACAATACCGGCAGCAGCAGTGGTAAAAGCAGCAAGTTCTTCGTTATTATCGCCACCTTTAGTATCGTCAGTCAATTCGGACATAATTGAAAGTGAGAAAAATTCGTTGAGACATATTTCCGGTGTTAGTAAGAATTGTATTGCCGTTCAAGACGAACAGCAGCAGCTACATCATTCGAAAATAACACTGGACGATTCGGAAGGTTAGTGTTGCATTTGATAAAAAGAATATTAATTACTTGCTAAGGAAGCAGAAATAAGTTTGTCATGACTTTTTATAAATTGTACTTTTTCTGTTAGCATTCATATGCTTTATGAGACCGTTTTCTTTTTTTTTATCATTAACAAATATTTTTAGAAATTTCATTCTGTTTTAATGCTTTCTTCCTTTGTACTGTTTGCTACCAAAAATGGACCTATGCAAGACTTCCGAAAAAAATTTGCTATTTGCAGTCCTTAAACCATTTTATTCAATTTTAGAAGTCACAGATGCAGAAGAGAAGATACGGCAGTGCTCTCATAAGCGAAGTGTTCATTTCCCGGATGTTATTGTAACGGATTTCTACGATGCACCAACAAATATCTTCACTAATAAGAGTAAGATAAATTTGATGTTTGATGGAATTAGTTGGGAAAATGTGTTATTCAAATCAATTTTTCTGATCACTGATTTGTCAATTTGACATGGAGATCTCCAAAAGATCTACTAAAGAAATATGGAGTTGTGCTTATTAATGAAGGAAAAAAAAATGTTATGACTCGGATGGAGATGCTACGAACTTTCTATAGTTTTTTTTTCCATTTTTATGGATTTCAAGCATTTATTTCGGGTTCATCATTTCCAAAGATATATCACAATTATGTTGATAGCTACTGAAAGAGGTCTCCATTTTTCATGTGTTTCAAAAGTAATATAAATATCAAATGCACACCGTAGATTCGCAGGAAATTTGTAGTTTTACAATCATTTCTAATTTATCGACTGTTAAAGTTAGTAAATTAGATATCATTGTTTCTATAGAGATATAATTTTTCAACGAATTTGTTCGTTATCCTTATTTTCAGATACAAGTGACACTAATGCTATCAGTATTTCCTACTTGAATATTTGCAAGCGTTTGCGAGTGGATCCAATCCAAGCTGTACAAGAACAAATAGCCGTATATTTTCCATCCTTTTTTAGTTTATTTTAAAACATTACAGTTTCAGATATAGAAGTAGTTCCTATCTGGTTTTTGCTAACGGTTTTTGCAACACGATTAATGAGGATTGATACTTAATATTCGATACCCATTTTATTATACATAATATTCCTGCGAAAACATTGTCTTCTTAACTGTGAAAGAACATTGAACGAAGAAGGAATAACTGTCAATTTAAAGAAATGTAGCGAAATTTATCACAAATACAGTGAAATTCTTAATCAGGTCGTTAGGGTAGGAAATACTAAGTCCCTATCTATTTTTTTTTCATCTCAAAAGCTGGAAGTGCTATGATATAGGAACTGATCCCGAAAGCTTTACATAAATCGGCAAATAATAAAACGCATTGATTGCTCCCTTCTCCTCTGATTCTTCGAAGCAGATGGATTCAGTGAAGTAGTAATAGAATTATTATATTCAGAAAGGCCAGCGTAAAGCTATGTTGCGTTTGGTAAAGTGTCGGTAACTTTTGGATCTTTATCGACTCTTGAGTTCATTGATTATTGATTTTTTCATTTTCACGGAAAAAGCTATTTCAGTGTTTTCATCAAGTGATGGGTGTGCGCCAAGAGTGTCTCTCCTTAAAAGGTTTTTTTTCTTATCACATTCTTCAGTGTTAAATGTTCTGAAGCTATATAAATTTAAGCTTTTTTTTTTGTTCAAAAGCTAAGTCTAATGAAGGATTCACGATAATTAATGAGTGCCTATAAGAAGAATAAGTTTAGGTCATCGTTTATCTTCTACTGATATGGAATGTTTGGAAGAAATTTTCAATAAAGTTCAGTTTGATATGCTTGATTTCGAATACACCTTTCTGGATGATGATGTAAGTTGCTTAAACCCATTTATTCTTAGCAAATTTTTTAATTTTTTTTTTGTTCTGGAATATATATTTGCTGATTCCGATTGATATTTTTTGGAAGTGCTGGAAGTAACAAAGTTTAGTTCAGTTAGCACTTCAACGTTGTTGAAAGAATTCGTACCAAAATCAGAAGTTATTAATCTCCTAAATGACCTACAGTATGTAGCATGTTTCTGTAATGTTCATTCGGGACATCCTTGTAGCTTATAGTGATAGTTCTAAAAAGATTCCCCAATATCGCTTTGTGATTCCTGATGTGAATTATTTCAATTATTTATTTAGAGTGCCGTCTGTCTTGGAGAAATGCTTGAATTTTATGATTCTGCAGTGAAATTAAATTTGTCTTTTAATAAGCAAATCAATTTGCGGGGTTGGCAAGCCATATGTAAAGCTGTAAGGGATGTAAGTCTTTCTTTTTCAGTAATTTAATCATTTCGCGAAAGTATTCCTTGATTTTTAACCATAATATTTGTTTAGAAATGATCTACATGTATTTATTGGTTTGATTATAATACGTTACATGTTTTGAATTCTGAGTCATCATTTTTTTGTTCAGGCACCTTCTATGCAGTATTTGAATTTACGCTACACATCTTTATCCGATCGTGCTGTGCCGGTATTGGCTCGTGCTTTACGCTCCCAGTCATCGTTAACTGTCCTACATTTGGAAAACGTTTCCCTTTCTGGGCGAAACTTGATTTTAGTCGGTCCGTGCAATAGTTTTCATCAATATTAGACAATAAAAATTTATGAACAACAGAATGAAAGTTGATGATATTTCAAGGGAAGATAGCAAGATGAAAGTTTCGTAACTGTAAAAAAATTGTAATTGCTTTATAAAATGATGTGGAAATGCCTCTCTCATTTCCGCTATCTTTTCAGAAGAGAGATTATAAGGATGACTTTTTAATAAGTTAAATCCAGTTTATATTAGTCAGTATCAAGAAGGCAGCTCACTTCTACAATAGTTAACCGGAAAGAATGGTGTGACTGACCTTGAATAGTCTGTTAGTAGGAACTTCCCGAGCTAATGCTAAATTGTTTGAAACATTTTTGTCACTGAGTGCAACATACTTCAACGCATGCTCATGATAAGTGCGTAATTGTATTATAGGATGTGCACTGAAGGGAAATACAATTTTGCGAGAGCTTTATTTGGGTGAGAATAACCTACAACCTGCAGATGGTGCTCACATTTATCAAATTATCATCACCAGTGTATCAATTCAGTTGCTTGATCTACGAAACAATCATTTGCAGGTTAGCTATTTGTAAGTTTTAAATAAATGAAATGAAATCTTTTGCTCCTTTTATTAGTGATAGATGAAGAATGTGTCGTTTAATGTTTTATAGGGAACTTTAAAATAATAAGGGATAATAATGAGTCTGGAAAGAAAAGCTTTATAACTCATTATTTAGTACGTTGTTATGGTTTACTGCTGTTCGTTAGAATTAATTTTATGACTGCATGACTTTGGAGGAAAAATTCTTTCTAACGTGATCGAATCGTGAAACGATTTATTACGGATTTAGGATGGTGGTCTGCGTCATATTTGCGATGCACTAAGGCACCGTGACACAGCAAAAAATAGTGCGTTGTCAGCATTGGTACTATGGAATAATAGATTGACTAGTTGTGGAATGGAAGCATTGGCGCAAGCATTGGTTAGTTTTCAGTTAGACTATTAATTTTGATTTCGAAGAAAGCTGTGGCAATATCGGTTTTTTTCTTGTTCATGGATGATCCTCTACTAGTGGAAGCTTTTTTTTTTTTGTTAAATCTGCTGAAGATTTTTGCCAATTTTGCCAATTTTGAAGTCAAATGTAAAATCTGACATTATTTAATGAGTGATAACTGACATTATTGGATGTAAACTTGCTTAGACGCAAATATTTATGATTAAAATTCCTTGGATATAGTTCTTAGGCAAAAATCTTAAAGGGAGCTGACTAATATACCAAATTAATACATTCCAGATGGAAAATGGTAAATTGGAGACGTTAAATATTGGTAATAACAGTCTCTTACTGGACGGTATCGTTAAGCTGAAGCCAGCATTGCAGCAGAATTGTAGTTTGCAGAGGCTTGGCTTGCAGGCGACAAATCTTGATTGTCAAAGTATGTTCTTTTGTTTACCAAAGATTCAGGAGATTTTTGGCGGTCAATCCGGAATTTTTTTAATGTTTACTTTATGGATTATTTTGTTTCTGAGATTATCTGAAATACTTTTTCAACATAGCAAATTTCTTGGTAGCTGCATAATGCTTGCTTACCAGTTATAGCTGTATAGACAACTTCTTTTAATGGATTGTAATAATTTTAATCAGAGATGTTGAGTACCTTTTTAGTAATTAATGACAGTATATATGAATGCTTTTATATAGTTCCACAAAATCAGTCAAATTTCCTTGAAGACTTGGTGTGAGAAGAAGAAATAAAGATGATAGAAATCTTAGGTGTAAATACAGTAGATCATTATATTGGCCTATATGTATTCTCTGGTCTATTAAAATTTGAAGTGTTTTGGAACTGTTTTTTAGGTGCAATTGTGTTGGCAGAATGTTTAGCGGATAACAAAGTGATGATACGACTAGATTTACGGGATAATCCACATATTGGATCTGCTGGCCTTTTAGCACTTCACCTTGCAATGAAAATGAACACTTCACTAACAGTCTTGAATTTGGATACATCAGTTGCCCAGTCCAGTAGTTTAAAGGTTTTGCGTTTATTCATTTAAGTAGCATGTTTTTATTATTGTTTAAAATGTTCATTTATGCACATCAAAGTTTCTCTAGAATATTTCGAAGTAAGCTGTCAGCCGTTTCAGTCGGTATGAACGGAATGACTTAATTCGAATTATTGAATTTGATATTCTTAATTCATATTATATAACATGGAACATATGAAGTCAGTAGGATAGTTTCCCATAAGATTATAAGGCTCGTTAAATGTGGCTAGTCATCTGTTAGTTGTATTTTACTTAACAGCATGGCTAACAGCTGTGAATTAACCTTTTGAATTTACTTAATATATCGACTAGTTTATTCTGCTTGTGGTTCGCACCGTTCATCCGGCTAACACTGGTTTTTTTAGTTAGCGCGCTTTCGATGATACCTGCTGTACGTCAGCGTATTATGAGGTCTTCAGGTTGTGTTTTGCTGGAATTAGTTTGAGTAAAATATACTTTGCGATGTTCGAGCAAAATACTAGTAACAACCTGTTTACTTTCCCTCTCCTTATTTGAATACAAGAATGCTAATCTTGCAGGTTAAAGAATACCAGGAACAGTTTAAAGTATATTATGAGGAGATCAAAATGTTTTGCGAACGAAATAAGGAAATTGCACTTAAAAAGCTTTCGGTCTTTACAACTGTCCAAGATGGCACCATTGACACGGATGTGAAGCAAAACGAAAAGAACACGGAGGTGAAGCAGGATGAAGAGAAAGATGTTGAAGAACAGAAACAAGAAATAAAGATGACGAAAAATGAGCACCTTGATAATTTGGAAGTTGCTGAACGAAAATTAAATATAATGTCAAATAATGCGGTTTGGTTGTTGGGTCGATCTTCCTCTTTAACCTGCACCGAGACCATCGATGATATCTCAGTAAGTTCGAGTTCTTGCTCTTCCACTTTTTTCTTTAGTGATAGCTTCTATATCAATGGTAGTTCTATATTAACATTTTGTTCAATCAGTTTTAATTATATACAGTTCTACTCTGTTATCACTTCGACAGAGAGCAGATAAAATATAACAAGTGGAAGTTTCTTTCCTGCATCTAGCACAAAAAGAGCAACTTTTCTTTACCTCTCAAAACACTGAAGAGCGAAAAATAAAGAGTAGACCCAGATTTCACACATACATATACTTCCACTATTAAAGAACAGTTACTAACATCATCAGAACTACTGACCAAAAAAAAATAAAAACAAAGGTACAAATAATAAACACCCTTCACCAGATAACATACTCTAAAGCACAAAAATTGGCAAGACATAAAAACAGGAAAAAAACAAAAAACAACATGAAACAATGAAAAGCTAAGTCAAAAATAAGATGAACGTTATATACATATTTGAATATATATTCACTATTTTAATGCTAGATTGTTTCGGCTAAAGATTTACGTTCTAAAAAAATCGATCTACTAATTACGTATACGATGAAAGAATTAAAAAAAGTTGAATATCTCCAAAAATCCATTTCTTCATCAATTTAGGAACGCGTTGCACAGATGACTCATTCACTAGCACTGATTGAGCAAATCCCAGACAGCATCACTACTACCATGAAACAGCCAGATGAAAGCTACCCTGCATTGTTCACTAAAAGTATGGTTTCACTCCTTTTTAATTTCTTACAAAAATTTGTTTTTATCAACTACTAAAAATGCGTATTTACTCATTGGAGCTTATCTTCAACTGTTGGACGATGACATTTACAGAGCCATTCGTAAGTTTGTTTGAATTGGTTTATACAAATGATTCTAAATGAATTTTCTGTTGTTAATATCTGATATTTGATCTTATCGTGATCAATAGATAGCAGTTTTTTTTTTCATCTTTTTGATGCTGCTAAAATTAAAGTAGATTGTCGTGATATACAATTAAATGATGGCTGTAGATAAATATCATAGAGTTTGTTATAAGATTAAGTAGTCTTCAAAATGAACCAGCACCAAAAAAATTTTCGGTACAAAAAACAAGTTTAAATTCAGATGAGCTATCAAAATGTCCATCTCTTCCTTCAATAACTGGAGATCATCCTGAGACTGGAATGAACCAACCGGTGAAAAAAATATCAAGACGCTTTACAGTTTCTACTTCAAGTTTGAATGCGACAAATCCGCGAGATGTTGTTCGAGCAAAATCGCGATTTAAGGTACTTTAACTTATTTGAGTTGTTGGATCATCGTTAGCTAAAGTATTGCCGATGGAATGGAGCTGTGTTCTGCTATAGTTGTCGTATATGATATCACTTTGAACATGAGCTAATTATCTTCGTCGCATTTCTTTAAATTGAATTTTTGTTTCATTAATTTATCATTCTTCGACATTTCAGGTTGAACAAGTAGGTTCGTCAATTCAAAAAACAGCAAAAGCTAAATCAGATGACTGCATTCCATCACAACGATCACTTGATGAAAGTTTCGTAGTTGATACACATGGTCCCGACTTTTTGACTGCAGAAGGTGCAACTTTAGAAGTCGAAAATCTGACAGTTGAACGAGTGAAAGAATCAGAAAATTCTGGATTTGTTGACAATGGCGAACTGCCCGGAAGCTTTCGATCTCGTGGTGAGGAGAGAATGAAACGCGTAATATCTCAAGATGTACAGGAAAAAGATGAAAGCTGTGGTACGAAAAATGTAATGAATTCCTATGAGGAAGAGATAGTTCAGCAACGTGTAGACGAAAAAAGTCTTCCATCTAGTTCTCTACAGTTCAACGCCGTCATCACTTTACAGCAGAAATCGGATATGATATCAACACAGGACTATTTTGGCGATGCTACATTTGTGGTTAAATTTACGGATAATGTTGCCCTGAAGCTTGATGTTGAAAAATGCTCTGCTTGTGAACAACCCGTTAGCATGAAGCATCCGATGGAACAATCACCACAGGAAGCAAGGGATGGGAACAGTGCTACAATGAAATTTGACACGGCTTTTTCCAGTTGCTCTGCAGTGAAGGATGATTCGGCAGATACACGTGTAGTAAAGGAAGTTGTTCGAGATCTGATTAATTATGTCGTTTATGAGGTAAACATTTTTTTTAAAAAAACTAACGAGTGTCATTTCTTCTTTTTGAATTCTCAAAATTTCTTAATCTTCAAAAATTGAAGCCAGAAGATGAGTAGGCGGAATGGTTTAACGATTAATTTTTTTTTTTGAAAATATTTTTTTTCGATGTGTAATTTTACAACAAGGTAGTAATTCTAATGCTAAATTAATGCTATAGATCTAATTGATACCACATCCCATGTGTCATCAAATTCTATACTTGAATTCTATACTTACTGTTTCTTTTTCTTTGTTTTGTGATTATAGGAAAATGATTTCACGTATTTACCTGTAATATGACGTAGTTTCAGTTGCTTCATTTCTTTTTTCTTTAGATAAGTGACGACGATTCAATTCATTATCAAAAGCTATCGGAAAGCTCACCTGCAATTCGTCCCCTATTATCTGTTTCCAGGTAATTGATGATAAATATTCATAACGAGCATTTAATTATATACGAATTACTTTTGATTGCATTTTGATTTTTTGTTACCAAAGTTATTTGTTTATGCCATATGGTTCCTTCCTTTTATCAGATATGATTGGAAGAGAAGATAAGGGGAATGATTACTTTAAAAAGATGACAATCTTTAAAATTAATGCATGCATCAAGTTTTCAAGTGCAATCATGTCTACATCTAGCTTACATTTAGCTTATTCTAATGCATTAATAATATGAATCTACTTGAACTCCTTCCGTCTATTTGTGACTGTACATGTCATTCCTCATCGATTTGTTTTGTCTGAATCCGCCTTTCAGTAACAGATTTTTGCATGAATTTATAGAAGTCCATCAAGTTCTACACTGAATCCATCTCACAATGCAGAAACGGACGAAAATGTTATACATAATATAGTACGTGGACTGGTACGAGATATATTACTACAAGAAAAAGAATTACTAAGGCGAAGTTTAAGGAAGAAACGACGACATCTTGTTACGATGTCTAAAATGGATTGTAGTTCGAGTAGCTGATCGTTTGTGTGCTTAGTATAATGAAGAGACCTCTTTTGTAAGTCTTGTAAATAACAGAAAAATTCTAACATTGGTCTGTCTAATATCAATCTCTTTATTGCGGCCTTTTAATGTCATTTTGATTAGTCGCGATTTTAATTTGATCACAATAGGTCTTTTGTTTTTGTGTGTCTTTCAGGCATACCGTTCGTGTAAAATATGTGGGTATCTGAGTGACTTTCTCAGAATTATGTATTATTGCTAACAAATAAACCGGTTTCTCTTGTCTCAATATTTTTCAAAAATTTTTTTTAAAGATGATTGAGATAGTTTTAGTAATATCATTTTAAAAAAGTGATTTAGTTGGAAGTGTCAAATATTGTTCTAAAATTTCTAGGTATCATTTAGTAACTAGTTTAACTTACTTTAATTTCTTTAAAATATATAGATAAAGCACCTTCAAATGAAAATATACCGTGAAAGAAAAAGAGGAGCCATTAAATAAGCGAAAATAAAGGCCGGTGACATGTCGCAAGGACTTTTGTTATTATTAATGATTTTCCATAAAAACTAATATAGAAATGCAGCTACGCCTAGCCATGTGTACATACTTTAAGCAATTTATTTTCTAGTCACTCAGTATATTCAGTTACTAATTTGTTATTATCACTTTCTTCCTCCCTGTATTCATCGTTCTCGAGAAATTTTTTAATTTGATTCATGTTAAGGACATCTTTCACCTTCTCTTTCTCTGTTCAATAGTGATTCTTTTCGTTGTATTTTTTTATATTGTTTTTTGCTTCGTTCTTTTTTATTATATTTATTTTCGAAGGATCACCTCATACTGGTTTTGTAATACTTCATAATTCATTTGTATGGTAAAAATAAATCGTACTTATATATGGAAGCAATCTTATGCACATTTCAATGCAAATATCAATCACCACAGTTAACTAAATTATATGATATTTTTTCAAAGTTTATTTTCTGTTAAAATTCAGTTAGAATACTTTCAGTAGAATCATACAAAGGATGACCTTAAGCTGATGCAGTGAAAGTTGCCAGAAATGATCACTAGAAATCTTATTGATCTGTCGTTATTTGGTTCTACTCTACTGTTTGATGTTTGGAGTTATCTGTTATCATAATAATCAACTGGAGTAATTAATATTCGTTGTGGTTTACTTAGATGCGTAATCAGTTATAAATATTGGAGTTTATTATTGCTAAAAAGAAGTTAGCCAGATAATTTTTCTAAAATTTTAAAAATTACATATGGAAAATTATTTCGTCACAGCTTGTATGGATCTCAATTACACATGAGAATGTATGGGAGAAAATTTCTCAAATTATTGAAATTTACAATTATCGCGACGAAATACTTATAGCACTTGCCTCCTTTTTTTGCTAATATTTAATTCTTGTCCACTTTATGGTTGTTATGTACGTCATAATCCTTAAGTTTTTTTAGTATATAATATTTAATATTATTACNTGCCTTTAATTTCGTCACGGTTGAAAATATCATTGAGATATGAAACAAAATTAATTTTCTCATAGATATCTTCGATTACTGCAAAAGCAAAAGATTATTCTCGAGAATTTTTCGCAAAATTTATTTGTTCAGATCTTGGCACATATTATTTGCATGACCACTAAATATTTTAGTCGAGAATTGTAGTATCTCACTTTTCTCGTTTGTAGTTGACGAAATTACAAGAGATTTTAGAATGTTCTTAATCCTTTTCAGTTTTCTAATTCGTTTTAAATAATTGAGGAAGGTTGTTTTTATATCCACTTGTACACTTGCAATTATTCTGTATTTTTTTTTTAATTCTATAATCGCTTAATGTCATTAGACTTATTGAAAGCGGAAAACTGTAATTGTAAATAAGTTTTGATTATATATATTGTATTTTTCAATTTGTACAAATAACGATTAATAATGTAAATTGTAGTGTGTAAAATTAATTAGCAGTCTTTCTTCAGGCAAAACCGGTCCAAGCATCATATTTAATTTATTTAATTTTGCATTTCATAAATTACAAATGTAGTTATTTTGATAGTTGCTCGTTTTAATATGTTAGTACATGAACGATTCAACTGTTTCATTTTCTTAAGATTGTTATTATCGATAAATTAGTATATTGATTTGGCATAACAGATGAAGTCTGAAATCGATCAAAATTCGAATTTAATCGAATATTTTGGCCATCATTTGATAGTTGTTTTCAATGATTTAAAATTACAAAACGTGACAGATCTGAATAAAGCGGTAATTTTTATAAAAATTTCTTTAATGCACTATAAAAATAAAAATGAAATTATTTGTTTCTCTTTTCTTTCACATTCAATAATTTTCATGATGAAATTTAGATCGAATCGTTGTAACACTTTTTATTGATTACTTTTTTTTTAAATTTTTTTTCCTTCCCATTGAATTTTTTAGCAGTATTTTTCACTTTCTATTTATGAATTTATGCTGAAAAAAAAAACGACCATTTATGACTTTCGATATATTTTCAGATGATTTAAATGATTTAAACCTTTTATTTCAACTCAACTCATTAGCTAACAGAAGGAAGAGAAAGGATTTCCAAAAAATGAACATATCAGAACATTATGGAAATGTATGTGTTGGATTTTATTTTAACCCTGCTGAACTGATAGTTCATTCGATTATGAAAAAAAAAAGATTGAAAGTGAAAATTTGCTAATATTTGTTGGTGCAAGTGCAGTTTTCGCTTTTCAAAATTGTATTTTAAGATTTCAAAATAAATAATAATGGCGCGTGAAGGAGACATGCTGAATGAAAAGATTTCGGATGCTGCTACCTTTATATGCAAATAATTCTCAATTATCCTTTATGCAATATGGATTGGAACAGACTTCCTGTCTTGCTTCTATAATTCATACAATAATGGAATCATATTTTCATTTCGTTTTTGTTTTCCATCTTTTTTTTTGATATGAAAAATGTGTTTGCAATGATTTTTTGCCGATAAATTTGCTACATTTTAATATTTCATTCTGAAACATTTTAATTCAAACATCAAATCGGAACAAGTAGTTCCTGAACATATTATCCTGAAATTTTTCAGGATAATCTGTTCATCCTCTGCAATCCGCTAGTAATCGGAAGTTTAAGATAGAATGAACTTCGGAAGAAATAAATTACTGCCATAATTCAAAATGGATTAAAACTTAAAATCCACGAGTATCACTTCTGCTCATACGACATTTTTTCATAAAGAATGAAACGAATTCGATTATTTAAGAGATATGCTGAAATCTCATAATCGATAATTTTGCTACCTCCATTTTACGGCTTATTCTTTTAACATTGAAATTTTCAACGATAAAATGTCGGTTGCGTTTATCTCAGAGAAGGACCGATAAATCCCGGTATGTTAGCTTGTTATTTTGCAATTTTAAGTGATTGTTTTGCAAATTTTCGAACTGTTCAAAGAGAGGAACCATCACCAGTAATTTGCAGTCTCATTAATTAGATGTGTCAACTTCCATTGTCAATACATGGAAAAGTTGAATGGAAGGTTAAAGAATGTAAATAAAATAAATGAACCATCCTGCAATATTGTAGACGGAGGAAGAAAAATATTTAAATTGATAAATGTCATTACTCACTACTAAACAATTTGCTTTGGAAAGCAATATTTTCATTTTTACTTCTAAATAATTCAATGTTTTTTCTTTTTTTTTGTGAAATTTGTTTAATTTCATTGATTTCAATGAATTATGTTCATCATTTCATTTCATTCTTCCATATTATCATATAATTTTTTTTTTCAATAATTTCTTATGCAATTCTATAATTAAATTGATATTGGATATTTGATATGCATATTAGTACTGCAGTAAATTACATTAAAATAGATATAATTAGTGGATTATTGAAGAGATTTGTGAGTAATTAGCACACAACTTAAAAATGATTATTCTTAAAAATGATTAAAATGATTATTCTTTTCCATGAAAATGGATGAAAAGGTAAGAAAAGATAAATTAAGTGATGAAAGAGAGATATATTCTTGTATACTTTTCAGATGAATCATTTTTTTATTGTTTATATACTAATAAATGAAAGATTTTAGCTGTACTGTTAGACATACATATAACCACAACTACAAACTTCATTTTCATTTTATAAAGCTTAAGTAAATATAAATGGAGAAGTATGAAATAAGAGAACTAAAGATTATTTATATAAATTGATTGGAAGCAATGATTGCTAAAGTTTTAGTAAAACTTAAGTTAATAGTCTCTCCCATTTATTTCCATTATTATTTGCTTTTCATCATCTATCACTATCGTATTCGTTAATATTGATGAATTTCCGTTTTTCTCATTTTCATTTTCAAAGATTTAATTTCTTTCTTTCGATTTATTATGGATTGTATAAAATTTACTTAAAAAATTCATAGGAATTATTACTTTACACGTTATCGTTTGTATTATTGATCGTTAATTTTAATCGTTTCAAAAAATTCGATTAGAATTTCAATCATGTTTTTACAGTAATGTATTGATTATATTGAAGAAATGATGTTCATTCACACCATTATTCCTTCCCTATCATTGATATTTCCATTAATTCATTGTTTACCGGATTATACTATTGAAACATTTCCGGATTCACTACTTAGACCGGATCTTTGTAATCTTAGCTCTCCAGGATTTGCTTGCGATCCGGATCAACTGCTAGAACGCTTTAATCATACACTTTCCGGTATGTTTACTTTTTCCTACTAATAACAATATGATAATTTTCTATGCTTTTAAATTAGGAGCTGAATATTTATCGCAACATTTACAACGAATTCGTAATACGACGGATTGTCCATGTCTGGAAGAGGATAAATTGTACGATTACTGTCCGATCATTAATTCACATGGATATACAATATCAGTAGCTATTATGAAATCAATTGAAATGAATAGCAGTATGATGTAAGTATGTTTTATATATATGTTAAAATTAATTATTGCTGAAACATATAAATTATTGATTTATCCTTTCTCCAGTATTTATAATCAATTTTTTTTTCAATCTGAATTTGCAAACAAGAATTGACTATGAATTTGTAATGGATTATATTTGATATCTTTTTTTATACATACAGGATGATATGATAGCAAATTTTTTGATCTAATTTTATAAACTCATTCCATGGACGACAAAGTCAATGAGAGAATTCTGAAAATAGGAATGAGAATAGTTTTAAAGTACTTATAAATTCTTCAGTATATTTTAATAAATGAAACATTACATTCTTCAGAAATGCAGAAAATCGGATTCATACGGTTCAAACATTTGCTGATATGTTACGACAGCGTCAAAATCGTAGTCAATGCGCTGATGATGCATTGATTGTAGCAGTTACTGATTGGAAAGCTGTTAGTTTTTAAATTTTATTTCAAATTTAAAACAGAAAAAAATTATTTCCAATTTTTAATCACATTACCTGTTTGTTTCAGGTCTATACATCACTAGGTGAAGTGATTGGAAGAATGCTTACATCAAGTATTATCACGAGAATAACTCGAGAAGCTGGTATTTCCATTTCAGTAATATTTTATACAAAACTCTAAAGAGATAGCATCGGAAAATATTATAACGATCGAATAAAGTTGGATAGTAATTGATCAGATTATGATCGGTTGTATCATCAATCACATATACCCAATGCATATTCGTTCATTCATTATGTGCTAAGATAGAGGCCAAATTTTAAATAATGAATAATTAAATTTTGAATAATTAGACCGATTTCGAAACCGATTTCGAAAATTAAAAATATTAGTTGAGGTGTGAAGAAGGTGAGAAAGTGAGTAACAGGAAAGTGGAACAAATTTAATATTTGCATTTTACTCGAGTAAGCATTCCAGAGCACATGACTGATATCAAAATAATATCACTATTACTGCTGCAAGGATATTCTTTATTAAAATAATCAAATTGACAAAGTAATACTAATATTTTGTAATTTTACTAAGAAAACATTTACTTTTAAGAGTTTTGTCTGACAAAAATTTCAAAATTAAATTAATAATAGCTTTGAGAAGTGAACTACAAAACATAAACAATGCTTAGGTTGTTTTCTTTATCAAATTCTTTTTAACCATTTTTTTTATCAAATGTTTTTTATTAATTTTTTATCATATTTTTTATCAAAATTTTTAAATTTTCTCGATTTTTTAATAATATATTTTAAAGATGATAGAAGATAAAAATAACAATCATTTATTGCGTAATTTCAGATCCATTATTTGCTAATGCTAATTATCTTTATGGTTTAACATTTATGGTTGATCGTTATGGACAAATTTTACAATATTCAATTGAAAATTCCGAGATAAAATCTTGGTCGATGATATGGTCTCGTATAATGAGCAGTTGGCTTAATATTTTCCTCACTTTAATTGTTTTAATTACTTTTATAATGCTTGTTACTCTTATTACTATACGATTTTGTTGTAATGAAAAACAGACATATGCAATTGGTAGACAAACTACCGACTGATAACAATCAGTTGATTTTGTCTTTCAATTGAAACGATTCTTTCTATTCTAAACCTTTTCACTCAGGTCAAAGGTTGTCGTGCTTTTTTCGGCAATATATAATACTTTTGATATCATTTAATATCTCTCAGTACCACTATTAACGCTCCTTCTTTGATTTTTTATTTAATAACATTGAAGTATTTATTTTTAAATTTGTTCATTTCATGTGTTGGAAATTTAATTTTAATTAAAACTATAAAAATTCACAAAACCAATAATAATATTGATTCGTTAAATAATTATAATAAATAAGAGTGATAAGAATGAATTTATCATACATCGAACGAGTATTTTATTCAGGATTTTCATATTACCAAAATTATATATAAATATATTGCATTTACGAAGTCCATAAATTTTGAGATTTCCAATATAAAAGATTTAATTTCAAGATTCAATAATTTATTCAAAATTTTTGATAATGTTATGATAATTTCAACCATCCATATGTTAGATATATTTTAAAAATTTACTGCATTACTTAATCTTAACTGTAATTTAGAATAAATCATTGAGAATTATCTTTATCACTTAATATGGTGCAAATTTATAACTATATATATATATTATTTTGCACACATATCCTTGTAATTTTTAATGTATTATTATGTAAAATACAAAATTGCAATTGTAATTTAGGTTTGAATTTTTGCAATATTATTATCATTACGAATAATTTTGAAAGGAAGGATTATTATTTGAAACTTTGTTTTATATGCCCGAAAATATGCGTGGAATTGATGAAAAAGAAAGCAAACAAACAAATAGTTCTTTATGAATGTAAGAATTTACCGGAGCGGATTGGAGAGAAAAAAACGAAAAGATTTGCTACGGAAGTTTACTGACATTCCAGGATATCATCCTGAATCAAAATCTGCTTAAAATAGAAAGTATTATTGTAATACGACTCTTCAGTATTAAATTTTCTAAGAGATTTACTTCCGTTGCAAATTGTACATTAAACAGTGGCAGTATTAAAAGAAAATTGCGAAATATTGTTAAAAGAAAGTTGCAAAATATTGTAATGGAATTATCAAATTACAAAATATATTTTCAGAGTGTCAGGAATAAAACAAACAAAGTTCATTCACTCTTCAGGAAAACGACAATTTTTCCTTCATTCATTCTCAAATATTCTGCATATGTTTTTGGGATGATTTTATACCAATCTAATCAAATTTAACAACTAATTTAACTTCTTTATAGCTCTCAATTCTTTTCCTATTTTCGTCGTAAAATGCATAAAAATTTCTAAAAAAAGATCAACAGTAATAGAAGATAGTAATTATTGATTAGCTTAGGAAGAAAAAAATCTAAACATTGCATTATACTACATCGGCTTTTTTGTGATAATGAAATGCTAAATTTTTGAAAATTACAGAAGTTTGAACCGCTGGAGTCAAGCATTATTAACTAATATTTTTTATCTTTTATTTTTTATGAATCATTGATAAATCAAACACAAACAAACGGATAGCAATATAACATTGTCTATCTTTTTATACAACCAAATAAAATTTGCAAATATTTACGCAAAAGAAATCAAATTAAAATTGTTATGGAATTGATCATGTATCACTGCAATCACTGCTTCCTGAGCTTGACGGGATAGCCAAACCGGTATGTACCGTTATTAATGTATCACAGTTGACACTAAATGCTGGATAATACAAACCACGTGGCATATTCCTTAAAAATAAATATTATTTTGCATATTTTATTTGTATATTTAATTTTTTTATTTTATTAGACAAAAAGAGACGGTATTCTATAAGTACGTGAAAACATTGTAATTTTAGCAAAATTGATTAACTAATAGGAAGAATTACTTGTTTCTTGCTTTTTCCTTTATCCTTCATGATTTATATATTATTTATTATTATTAAATTACTATTACAATACCGAAATGCAACCAATTGTCCTTCATAATCACGTCGCGTATCGTTGACAAAAAATGCAAGAGTACCCTTATCACAATCTAATAGTACACCGATTACGGATCCGATACCGATACCACCGATAACTCGACTATGATGCATTCCGTTATGCAAGTACCACGAACGTTCTCCATCGATATACATTGACCAACCGTGTAAATCTTTTCCTAAAATCACTTCACATTTCCTCATCATGTTTGCATCCATTTTAGATAGTAATATTAGCATTCATCGCTATCTTTAAAAACGTTTAATCTACAAAAAATTTGTCCACATATCAGCCTGAATCAGATAAATATTCACAATTTCTTGAAAGCACAAAAAAAAGGAAGATTTCTGCGAAAAAAAAGATAAAAAAATATACCAAGCATAATATGGCGATTGAAAGCATTTTGTGCTACACCAACTACAACATCTGCATTTCCTGCATGACGTTCCACCGTTATCTCCCAGTAATGTATTCCGCGGGAAAAAGCAATGGAACCGCATAACGTCCTATATTCCATTGTTGTTCCGGTTACTGACATACATTCATTGGATATGGTTAAATCATTTGGTGAAGTTGATTTGCTCAATTGAAACCATGCTACTAAAAAGTAGAAAGAAGAAAATTTCTTGATTAAATGTTCACTGTAACAATTGGACCAGGAAATGAACGAACGTGAACGAAATGGTTTTTTAGTATTTTTTGAACATCATAGATCTTTTCTCGAGAATTGTATATGAGATGTGGCTATTATTGTTAAACTTATCATTGTATTAAAATTTATTGCTATGTGTAGGAATTTAAATTTTTGAAGTAAATGAAGTTATATTAACCAGCAGCTGTCTGAAGACATATCATATCACTATATGAACTTTCACCGGCTGAATTAAATGCTTTAACTCGCGCATTATAAATTGTATTAAAATGCAAGCCATCAATTGTACATATTGTATCTCTGCCACAATATACTTCCTGTAAAAATAAAATTTGAAAATTAAACATTCCATTACAGTATGTGCATAGTTTATAATAACTAGCATAGTTAAATTGCAACCTTGAATAATCCATCTTCAGAACCGGAATCAATTTCTAATATATAACCATCAATTGTACAATCATCATTTTGTGCTTTCCAGGAAACTGTTACTGAATTATTTTCAGCGATACATTCCGATGTTTCAATTAAAGGCGCATTTGGTACTATAAAAAATGATCAAATTAATGAATCACATATTATAGTACTTGATTGCAAGGAATTATACATTTTTAGTGATTAAATCCATTAAGTTATTTAGATAAAATATGCAATTTTCTCAATCACAACCACTATTATCACGAAACAATAACAATAACAACACGATATACCAGAAGATTACGGTGAAAATTGAGTTAAAATTGATATTAGCCTTATTCTTAACCTAATTAAATTAATGATATTCATTTTGAATGTTTTACTCAGTATCGCAAATCTGTTTGCTATTTATCCAAAATAAAAAATTGACGTTTCTATACGATTTCTGTTTCTGTATGATTTAAAAAATATCAGCACTTTTCTAAATATTTTACTGTTCATCGATTTAGATCAAAATCTCGGACTTAATTTAATTGTTGTATTTATTTTGATAAATTCATGAATATATTCATTGTTAAAATTTAAAGCTTTAAGGATTTCTTCTGCACTATCATTGCATACCATATTTAAAATTGCTTTACTAAATAAACTTTACCAGTGGCAGAATCACCGTTCTTTATTACCAACCGATTACCTAAATGAAGTAATTCTTGCTAACAGTGTTCAGATTTTTTCACTTTTCTATAAAAAAAAGTGTAAAAGATTAGAAATAATAAGTTATTTTTTCGAAATTTGAAAGATTGTCCTCTAACTTTCTATTTATTTAAAGTTATCTTCAAGATGTACACATAAGGAAATTCATTATTGTTCATGATACGCAATCAATTTGGTTTGGTTTTTTTTATTTTTATTAGGAAGTTATTTTAAAATTTATTGGATTAGTTTGATTTGAAAAGAATTTGCTTTGAAATTTTTAGGTAAGACTATTAATTCGATTGATTGCTATTTTTAAGTTTAATTTTTTTTAATAATTGCTTTAACCCTATCTTATTTGTCATCATAAATAATCAATATTGAAGAAAATTGCCATACAAATTTGTTATATACGAAATTTTTTTTAAATTGAAATTTGATGGGCAAAATTCGAGGCATTTTCATCAAATTTTAAGTTTAATTAAATAAAAAAATACCTTTCAATTGAGCAAAATCTAATGTTTGTATGGCGTACTGTAAATTGTTCACATCTAAATTTAATATGAAATCCGGATCCGCTTCGGGTGTTGTTTGCATCTCTTTATGCCATAGGAATTCCTGCGTTGTAGCACGATTGATCAATGCGCTACTTACCTAAATTACTTATTTCATTCAATCAAAAACCTTCTATGTTGCACAAACTATCAGTATTAATCCAACTAAAATACCAATGATAACAAATATAAGTTATTGATTTTTCGATTAATATCAAAGTAATATCTTTAACCGTTTAGACTGATCATTGTTTAATATTGGAACATCATGAAATGACCAAATTTTTGAAGGATAAAATTTTATGTCAAAATGTTGACACATTTATTTTTACAAGAAATTGATGAAAATTTCCAAAAAAAAGTATTGTAGAAAAGATATATTTATAGTTTGCTAACAATAATGGAAATTTGATATTCCAATAAACGAACTTGTAAATAAGTTGCCGGATCAGGTTCTTTGAGAATTTCAATACAGAATTGTATGAGAGCAGTTGTCTTTGACAATTTCGTGGTACAACGTCCAATTTGCTCTTTGAATGTTCGTCTCTGAATGATAAAAACTGGATAGAATTAGCTTTTCAGATGGTATTAATACATTTAAAAGCTTTTGAAATTCGCAACAAATTTATTCGATGATAATCATTTCTTCTTTTATCTGTTATCCGGAAACTAATGGATACCTTCTCCTTTGCAGTATTATCAATTTCGAGACATTTCCGGTGGTCTATATAAGCAATAGTATAATCACTGTTGTATATACTGTTAAGTTATCGTAATTATGTTTATTTCCATCTTTTTGCCAATTTAAAATTCTAATTAAATAATCAAATTTAAAAATGCGATATCAGTTAACAACATCTAGCGAGAATACAATGACTAAACGAAATTTGAATTATCAAAAGTGCGCATTTTATTAATAATTTAACGAATTTAACTACCTTGAATTCTTTTTCTTCTTCCACATATTGTAATAGCTTTTCTTTTCTCTGTTGTAATTGTTCAATTAATGAATCAATTTGTACTGTTAATCGATGTTGAAAATCAAAGCAATTCACCTGAAATTATTCAAATTATTTATTTTGAATATCATGTAATAATAGAATAAAGGATTATTTTGAAGAATTTCATAATTTTTTTCCAAAAACGTACAGAAATAGCATCGTTAAGTTGTTTGAGTCGAGTAATATCTTCCGTTGCATGTTTTGCTTTTTCACTTAAAAGTTGCAAGATTTGTGATAATTCAGCCTGAAATAAGATCAAAACAATTAAGCAAATTGTTATTGAAAAAAATTTACAGTAATTTTAATTAAGCAAATTGTTATTGAAAAAATTTACGGTAATTGTATTATTTATTATTATCAATTATCGATATTATTACTATTACTTATTATTATTAGCATTCAATTCAATTTAAATCAATATTCATTTTATATTTATTCGATGGTGATGGGTAGATTTGAGAAGAATAATGCAAGTATTTTGCTCATTTAATTATATCGTTGGAGTTGTATTATGCATGAAATATTGATTGATTGAAGAGAAATTTGTTGAATGTTTAAAACTCATTGCGTTTGTTTGTATTCCAATATTCTTTTTGCTATTGTTAAGCTGGCCAATGACCAAAGTAGCCTAGAATTAATTAGCAGTTACATATCACTCGCAATGGTATTAGGCCAGAATTGTCCATCGTTAATATTTGATTATTCGTGATAGCATAATTGTATTTACTGATTGTTTTTGATTATTTCAATCAATTCCCAAATTATCTTCCTCTTTTAAGAAGTCAGTGACCAATCTTTTTCATTTTTTAATTTTTTCTTTTCAATGCATTATTATTAAATACTTTTTAATTCGGAACATTTATGAATATTGAAAATGCTAAAATTATTATTGAAAATGCAAATATGATCAAATAATACCAATACATTATTATTATGCAGTCTATTTATGCCATTTAATAATTTTAAAAAGTGGTTGATGAAATTTTTTTGGAAAAAAGAAAATGGAAAATTGAATGATTAATTCATAATGAAAATTTCTCCATCATTTTCAAAATTGTATACCGTAAGAAAGCGAATTATTTGCAAGATAGTTATGAATAATTCAATACATTTCATAATTGGAAGAAAAAAGAATCATCTTTTGAATCATTTTTTGACATCCTCCTTTCACAGCTGTGAAAGATCAAATGATAAGCTAACAGATGGCGAAAGAACTTTTTATTTTCCCTTGAATATATCAAAATTTTAGTTGAAATTAAAATTGATACTCAAACGATATTTTCCATCCTCGTTCCTCGATGTGCCAACATTACAAATATTAGCTATTTGAATAGAATTTTGACTTATTTGCTCAATTCGGTTTTTTTTTATTTTTACACATTTAATAATATTAATTTTTGCCAGAACTATAAAAATGAAAAGAACGGTGCTCAATTTTGTTAGACATTTTACGATGATAACACGAACAGCTTTTCAACTTATCCAAATCATTTCAACTATTTTTAAAAGTCTACAAACTAATTTTTTTCAACCAAATTAAATGTAATGAAGCATCTATAAATAAAACAAAAGTCTCGAACTTGAAAAACTATTTTGCTATAAATAGCTTAACTTTAACAATATAATACAGAAAATACATGCATACATGTGGTTGTGCAAACTGGAAAGTTATTTTGAAAATATGATTTTTTTTTTAATTTTTAGGAATTTAATTTCTGAAGAATTTGGACGGTATATATTTCGATTATGTTGATTAAAAGGTGATAAAATACATAAAGGATTGAAAAAAAAAAATTTACTATTTTATCCATTCTATTGATATATGCTTGTTTATCAAAGGTTTAAAAATTTTATGGAGCAATATATAGTGTAAAAGCATAGAAGTAAATTACTGTGAGCTATTTGCTCCTATTGATTTGCCACCGTTCCTTAGATATTAGCAATCTAATGGCTAACAATTTAATGGTGTCCCAAATGCTCCAATTCGGGGATGAAAAAGAAAATTACATTCGCGCTGAGGCTTGATTGACTATTCCAATGAGCTATAGCTGTCATATCAGATACTCTCGTACCCTATAATCTAAAATTATACAATCTTTTTATCTCATTCATCATCAGGTCAGCTGCTGATTCATGCATAAACTGACCAGCACTAAACGGTATTAGTCATAATTTTTCAGACTTTAAGCCTAACATTACTATAAATTGGTATCATTGCTGGCTTTAATGTCAATAAATCACCGGGATCTTTTCCCTCTTTTGCTTGAAATAATCGATAAAGAAATTTAATTTTCTGTAATTTACCCCTACAATCTCACATGATTAAATAGAGCAAAGCATGCACATGCACATACAGTTTTAAATTTCGAAGATAATTTCATTATTTTTACCAAGAAATTGCTACTTAATTCACCAGTTATTTCCAAATTATTGAAAATATTTATTATTAAAACATTAATTTTTGCATTTCAAATCAAACGAGATTTTTACGCAACTTTTAATCGTAATAAATTCTACTCCCTTGTCATACTATTAAAATTTCTAATTATTAATTTATGTTATGGTATATATCTTATTTGGTACCGTAATCAACACTTTAATACGATTAATTTTGAGGTGAAAGGTAATAAAATTTTCACACATTCTTTTCATTCCCTTTAATTTCACCCTTCTCTACCTTTCGGACATCAAAATTTTCCCACTACCCTTCGATCTCATTTTTGCTTCATACATTCTTTTCTTTTCTCGCCCTTCCCCTCTTTCTCACCTTATACCTATTAAACATCAAAGAGAAATCACTGACAAATTAGTTTATGTATCGTCGGATCGAATAATATGAGTTCGTTGGAAGCGTTAGAATGTAAAAACCTTTCAAAGAACAATTCAAAAGGAACAATTCTTCCTCTCTCTTCCTCTCTCTTTCTCTCTCTCTCTCTCTCTCTCTCTCTCTGCCTTGAGAACAGCTGCACAATCACAACTTCATCATAAATTTTGTGATAGGAAGGATTTCTGTAAAACATACTAATGATGTGATATTGATACTTCGATAGATAATGTCAATGTCAGGTCATCGTCACTATCAATATCTTTTGTTTGACCTATATAGATACATATCAGCTGTTTTATCTTATTATTCGACAAACTCTTCAATTGCTTAGTATTCCGCTTTTATATGATTGACTAACTGGAAAATTTAATAAAATTATTTTTCCCGCGGGGGAAAAAACGAATATGAATTATTTCTAGCATCTTCCTTTGTTCACAACTCTTGCATTATTTTTTGCTCAGTTTTTCTTTTTTTTTCCTTCGTAAATTAATTTGGAATGATTGAAAATTTACATATGTTATTATCATATATTGAGAAAATATTAATAGATTAAAAATATGATAAGAGGGAGTAAGATTAGAGATTGAACATATGTTCCAACAATAAGGTCATCAAAAGGTTAAAAATTATTTCGGGAAGAGGAAAGAATATGTGGAAGAAAGAATAAATGGAAATAGAATAGCGGATTGTAAACCTCTTAACGGTATATTTCTTTCATCTTCAAGAAGTCATAATTGTAAAATCCTTCTGAAATTTCACACCTTAGAAACACCAACAAAGAGAAAATTGTAAACCTAAACTAAATCTAAATATTATCTTTCAGAGTAGCATAACTATCAATTTATTTGAAATGCTATATTTGTCTAAAAAAGACAAAATCTTGCACATGTTATGAAGCTATTAATAAATTTAAAATGAAATATAAAATGAGATTTAGCATAACAAAAATGATACATTATTTCTTTCATCAAACGATCTCATAAATAAATATTAGAAGTAAAATAAAGAATGGCAATCATTTCATTTTTTTTTTTTGATTAAAAGCAATTATTTTAATGAAATGAATAAATGATTTTTGACGTGTTTAAATGAAAATATATTAAAAAATTTTCCAAT